TTAACTCTCTCTTAACTATTATTATTATGTATACATTTTTAACTGAAATGTCAGCATATATGCTTACAGAAGTTACAAGTTACAAATACAATACAATCAACCATACACTCGTGGAAGCGCTAATAATGAGTTATAATACGAACGACACTGGAGTCTAGTGTGCACCCTAGAGTATGTGTTTGCACTGGATGAATGAAGGATTGTGCGCGAACACGAAGTCCGTAATATAGTTCAAATCAATAAGAAAACAAAAAATCATTTTCTCTTTTTTTTAAAAAAGAATTTAGTCTAAAGCTATTTTTATGAAACACGGTCGACAAAATGTTTAATACAAGGATATAGTGCAACCGGAGGTATTTAGTGGAATTTATGTGTAGTATTTAGTTCGATTTCAAAACTTACTGAGACAAGAAGGCTCATGTTGGAGCGTAGCAATTGCATTTGTTCCGGGGGAACTTTGGACCAACCATCATTGGTGACAATGAAGAAAGTGGAATAAATCTCTTTCCTGTTCCATTGTTGATTCAAAATGGCCATGTATTTTGGGTCACTTCCAAGGCTTGTCCACAACTCTGCCGATGTGCTAAATGTGCGAGAGAAATATGGGTGCACGGGGGTGCAGTGGGATGGGATGAGGTGGAGTGAGCAGGGTTGCGTATGGGAGTCGAATTGAAGGAAGCATAGGTACCGCAGAAATGGAATAGACCATCTACAGTCTGTAGTGATTGTATGAGGTGATTTGGGTCAAAAAAATGGATGACAGAGGGTCATCAGGTGGAAATAAAAATTCCAGAATATCCCATACCCCCCCCACACACACACATACACAGACGAGCGTAACTTTACTATGGAGGTCATGTGTTGGAGACAGAAAACATTAGGCAATCAATAAGGATTTCCTGAGCAGATTGGTAAGATTCATTGCCGTGTGGGATATTAATTTGAAGAACTATCAACAATTCTAATTTCCCCGAATCGATTACAATAATCGAATTGAATTAGACAATAAACGTGATATTCAAACTATTACACAGACACCATTCAATCCGAGTTTGTAATCAGCCAAGCGAAAGCTTTTTCTTGGTTCTATGATTCTGGCCCATGTGTATGTATACAGGTATTGACCAAACTCCTGCAACATACTGATTTTCATCATATTTGTTCTTCTCAATGCTTCATTCTTCCAGCCTCAT